CTTATCTCCCGTTCTACTGGGCCTATTGACGAAATTCAAATTGCGCGACTTAGGGTATATATTGGATTTATATATAGTATTGTTCTAATACAAGCATTTTGACACTAAATCTGACCTTTTCTAAAATAACATACCAATTTTTTTTCCAGATTTCGATTCTGAGTCTTAAATTATACCTAGAAATTAAATTTTGTTAATTTTTGGTGAGAAATTTATGGAGACATTTAAAAATGTATCTTGGCACATTTTTGTTTCAGTTTGTGCCAAGAATAATTCACTTGGCGAACTTCTTAATTTATAGCAACCTTATTTTCCTTTCCTTTTTTCATTGTGCACAAGCGGGAAAAAAGTCGTTGTCATACTTTCAAATAATTTTAACAAAGTGTGTAAACTATATTTGGCGTTATTATCGCTTATAACAAATATGCCAAATTTCAAAACGCTCCAATATGTAAATTCACGTATATCTTAGGAAATTTTGAATAAAAAACTCTAATTTTTGGCAGGTATGCTTAGAAATACATCTTCTTTAAGATGATGGTAAAAGTTTTAAAGGTTATAATCCAAAATGTTTTCGAAAAATTTATAAAAATTATTTAAAAATACAAATTTTAAAAGTAAATCACAAAAAAGTGGAGAATTTTATTTGGAATGAACCTAAATTTCGAAATGTGAAAGGAAGAAGGAAATAAGTTTAATAAAGAAAATGCGATATTAACAAATATATACCAAATTCAAATAGCATTGAGGAGCTAAACCTTTGAGAACTAATTTTTTAAAAACTACGCTTTTTCAAAACTTGCCTTTTTGGCATAATTGGAGTCTTAGCATCCAAATATGGAAAAAAATTGGCATGTCATTTCAGTAAAAGTCCGATTTTGTGTCAAAATACCTATATTAGAACAATGCTATATATAAATCCAATACATATCCTAAGTCACGCTTTCGAGGTAAGAAAAACGCAGTTTGAATTTCGTCAATCGCCCAAGTAGAACGGAAGATGTAGAACTGCCCCATTTTTTTGGTGAGGGCAGTGTATATAAATACAAAGAAATTATAGGTACTTCTTTTTATTACATTATCAGATTATTATATTCAATTGTATAACGTTATCAGAAGAATACACTGTTGTGTCCCCTCGACATTCGTCTTTGTACTTTAAATACAATAAAAAAAGTAATTCAAGTGAACCTATTTGGCTTATGCAGTCCTATGTCACATGTGTCAGTAGTCGGCATTTTACTTCTACAAAAAGATATAAAACGACCACTCCTATTTTTCTTTCACATAAGCATGCCCTGATATATCTCAGCATTGCCAGAAATTTGTCCCCATTGTTGACAGATCGCCACCACAGTTCAGCAAAGAGACGGGGCACATCGCGGGTGTTGCTCCTAAGAGCCATTCACACTGGGGTTTATCTGCGTAGTGGAGTGAATCCCATGTGTCGACTAGCTCCGCTATACGTGTAGTTCAGATTTTTCAGCTCGCTCCGCTATGAGTAAAAACTGGTTTTGGAGCTGCATCGGCTATGTCAGATGTCTCCGTTAGCTCAGATAGATCCCAGTGTGAAATACCCTTTATATTTCGTTTATTTATTTGCTTAAAATGACCCTGTAGACATGCTATCATCTGAGTGCTGGATCAATAAAATTCGACTCGTGAATTATTGTCAGGTGGGCCTTTCATGTGATTCATACTCTTAAATTTTACAAACGCATTTTCAAGATAGGTCATCTGTTGAGAGAATACCAACATTTTTGCTGCCTTTTTCTTCCTCTGCGATTTTTCTCAGTTAGTGATGTCGCATGTCCGTTATAGAGGGTGCCTAATCTAAAAGTGGACCCGTTTGAATTGAACTTCAAATGCATGTTGGTTTACGAAATATTTGTTCCCAGACAAGGGCATGATTACGCCTGAGATCAACTGATCCATCACACTTCGCATTATCTTACTCCAAAGAGTTATATTAACGCTGCGTGTTTATTTCAAATCAGCTATCTATTCATCAAAACTATATTATTTAGACAAGCTTTAGAAGCAGGTTCTCAGAAGCAACTCCTGACATCACTAATGAGACGCAACTTACAGAACCTAATACAGCCAGAAAGAGAGGATGATTTTTAACGAGTTGCGTAACTGATTTACATAATGCCTCATGTTAGTACTAGCAATGCTGCAGCAAAACTGACTAAAAGCTTCATTTTTAAAGTTTTTATACAGGATATCCACCAAGATTAGGATCATCGCGGTTAATATGGTTATGTTCCATTTCAGGCTTTCTCAGTTGAGGCTTTTTTAAAAATCGTGCCGTTTTAGCTGTCTAGAGCCTAGTTTGTTAATTAAAATTGAAATTTCCCGAGTGACAAAAGTCTCGTGCGCTGGAGATATAAAAGTTTTATTTCGAATAGAGTTGCTAATATTGTTAATCAAAAACTCATTAATTTTACAAAATATGAAATAAATGATAAAACAAATCCGAAATTCAAGTTTCGCGCTTCTAGGTGCACAGGACTACGTTCTTAAAACTTGGATGGCTCTAGATACCGCCATTTTGTCACTTTTTTGCGGGGGGGGGCAATGCGAGGAACATACATACGTACATGCATTCGACATGAACGCATGTACGTATGTATGTACAACGAAGAATGTATACATACGTACATACATTCTTCGCTATTTAATTTCTTTCAAAATAATACCGTTCAATAATATTTGATGGCAACAATTTGAAATGTGATTCATTCAACGTTTATAGTGAACCAACGCAAAATCCCATTCCAAGACTAATAGTTCGTTTTAGGCTAAAAAGAAAAGAAAAGGGTTGAAAGTAAAATAAATAAATATTACGACAAACGGGAGTTTTTTTTTTTTTTCGTTTCGAGAGCATTTAAGCTAACGCCGTTTTGGCCTAAAAATATTTAAAAACAGTAAATCTTTAGAATTTCCGGCAGACAATCTCGCACACACAGCCATTTATTGTGATTCGACGAAAAATGTAGTTTCGAGACTAATAGCCCTTCTGGGATAATTCTGCTTTGGGCTAAAAATACAAAATCATAACATAATTTTAAAATGTTGCAATTAAAATTTTTCTTCAAAAAGAAATATAGAGTTTAAATGTATTTCCTTACACGTCAATCTGACACTTTTGTAGTTACTTATTTGTATATCAAGACGGGCGGTAAAAGCTCTAACCATGCCATTGGCAACTATTCGCTTTGAAGAGAGTAGTTGCCAGTGACAAGCGAAGGCATAGAAACCGTTGGGGAAGAGCATAATCTTGTTTGTCTATTAAATTTTGATTGGATCTATATGTTTTAAACAAACATTACTATTTGGAACCTTAAGTAAATCTTCTCTGAGAGTGTCATTCCGAGATCCAGGTAGTTTTGGTCTTTTGTGAAAGCAGTCATGTTATAGAATGAATGTTTAATATGCATGTTTATTTACGATCTCAGAAACAGAATGACCTACACAGACGTGGTCTACCAGATGGTAGGCGACTGCCATATAAAAGTTCTCGGAATTCTCTAAAACTACTTATGGTATCAACTTATGAGACTAATAGAATACTAATAATACTTGTTACGGAGGTTTGATTATGAAATAGTGGACTGTAGTTTAAAATAAGAATTTATTATCAATGCACAGTTTGCATTGGGCAAAAGTTTTACACTTCGCTAGTTGCTGGAGCTCGAGCGGATACAGAGATGCTATTGATACATATACCCCGCTAGAGGGCGCACCTAGTTATTAGTGTTGGCGCTATGATATACATTACGTAACAGCCTCCCGCGTTGAAATTTTGAAAATTTCAAAATATAGTGACATATGAACATATTAAATAAAAATTTATGAAGTTAATACAAAGCGTATTACAAAAATAACAATTAGAGAAATATTACATAAATTGAAAAAGTCTCTTAAGATATATATCAGATTTATAGTTATCATAACAAGAGTAATTATCATTTTTGGGTAACAAATTTGAGTAATATACATGAACATTTTCCTCTTCTTGAGAAGAAATGTTTTAATGTTGCTATAAGAGCCTTTGATGTTAAATCAGTGATAAGCTCTAAATTGATTGCCTTGGTGGCAAAACATATGAACATTGCTACATATACCTTTTGAGAGGTTCCTTTACGTTGACCCTTATAACTTATAAGAAAAGGACCGCAGAAGTCAATCTCACAGCTAAAAAAGGTTGGGCTTGGATTGACTCGCTCCACTGGTAAATTTCTCATTAATTGATTTGAATTGATTGGTTTATTTTTTAAACAAATCACACAAGCATTTACAATCTTTCTAGCCAGATTTCTGCCTCCGATGGACCAAAAATCTTGTCTGACAAAATGCAAAAGTGACTGTGGACCCACATGCAAGTTTTTCGTATGAAAATATTCCATAATGATTTCAGTGAATCTATGCCTAGCTGGTAATAGCTTTGGGTGTTTTGAATCTCTACTCAATTGAGAATTTTGTAATCGACCTCCAACTTTAAGAAGTTCATTTTGATCTAAAAAAGGATTTAAATTTCTTACCTGACTCAGCTTCAAGTCCTTTCTATGTTTTAAACAATTAATTTCATGGCTGAAAGTTGCATGTTGAACTAATTTAACTAACTGATTAGATGTACTTATTACTTCTTCTGTGTTAACTTACCAACTTGCCGATTCTTAGGACATTTGATATTATTTATAAATCTGAAAATATAACTAAAAACATGTACAAGTTTAGTAAAACTGTTACTAATATTAAAAAAATCATCAATGAAGTTATTAGTAGTGTTAGAAACTAAAACAGGATTATAATGAGTCTTTAGTTCATTAGAATAATCATTATCAGTCATGTTAATAAGTTCCTTATAAGATAGAATGTTCTAGTTTAAAAATGAAGGGCCAGTCCACCACATAGAGTTCTGCAGAAAATTGGTCACACTGGTTCCTCTAGATATGAAGTCAGCAGGATTGCTTTCAGAGGAAACGTCTCCAATCTTAGTCAGGGCATAGTTCGTTGATTAGTTTAACTCGGTTGGACACAAGGGGTTTAAGTCTTTCATGAGGAGTTTTTATCCATGCCAACGTTATCATAGATTCTGACCACAGGTACACATGATGAAACTCAACTTGAATAACGGAGATGACCTTTGAAGTTAGTCGAGCTAGTAGTAACGCCGCACATAATTCTAGCCTGGGTATTGTTAAGGTTTTTATCGGATATACTCTAGATTTAGAGCATAACAATGTTGATTTCCATTGTCCTGGGCTACGTTTTGAACTTATGTAGATTGCTGCACCATAGGCACGTTCCGACGCATCGCTGAATCCATGTAATTCAATCATTATGGAATTTGTAATGATCACATGCCTAGGAACCTTTACTTGATTTAAAGAGGGAAGTTGGGTTAAGAAATTTAACTATTCCTTCATATCATTGGGAGGAATTGGATCAGACCATTTTAATTGTCTCCACAGATTCTGTGGAAACATCTTTGCCATCACTGGACCAATTAGTCCGAGAGGATCAAACAGGCTTGCTATGGTAGACAGAACATCTCTTTTTGTGAAACTTGCCTTTAATTCTATATTAACCTTAAAGGTTAAATTATCGGAATTACATGCCCAAAGCATGCCGAGAGTTTTCACAAGATGGGAATCTGAAGAAAAGTTATATTCGGTAGCCTTGTTGTCGTTTAACAAGTCTGGATGGTTTGAAACCCATTTATGTAACTGCATGCCACCCTTGTTCAATAGATTTATTAATTCAAATTGTAAAGAAATTGTGTCTCCTAAATTTTTTGAACCTGATAAAATATCATCCACGTAGACGTCGGTAAGTAAAACTGCGGAAGCACGGGGAAAATACTCTTGCTCCTCCTCAGCTAAAGCTTCTGAAGAAATCTGAAGGAATCTGAAGAAAAGTTATATTCGGTAGCCTTGTTGTCGTTTAACAAGTCTGGATGGTTTGAAACCCATTTATGTAACTGCATGCCACCCTTGTTCAATAGATTTATTAATTCAAATTGTAAAGAAATTGTGTCTCCTAAATTTTTTGAACCTGATAAAATATCATCCACGTAGACGTCGGTAAGTAAAACTGCGGAAGCACGGGGAAAATACTCTTGCTCCTCCTCAGCTAAAGCTTCTAGAGTTCTAGTGAGCAAATATGGGGCACATGTTGTACCATATGTAATTGTTCTCAGTCTGTAAATTTCAGCAGGTGAGCACGAACTTGATTTCCACAAAATCCTCTGGAGTTCTCTATCAGTTTCTTCGACAAGAATTTGCCTGTACATTTTAGTAATGTCTGTGCTAAATACATATGTATGTGTTCGAAAACGAGTTACTATTGAGAATAGATCTTGCTGCACAGTTCCACCATTGAGTAATAAGGAGTTGAGACTTACTCCATTTGCGCACTTAGCTGACGCATCAAACACGACGCGAAGAGGGGTAGAAATGCTTTCTGGTTGGAATACTGCGTGATGTGGGATGTAATAATTTTCACTACAGTTCTCGCAATTTGAAGTAACCTTTTCCATATGATTTAATGCAAGATATTCATCCATGAATGCCGTATATAAAGCGGACATAGTTTGATTTTTGTCCAATTTGTTCCAGAGGAAATTTAGACGTCTTTTCGCCATTGATTTAGATTCTCCTAAACTAGAACGTTTGCCTTCCTTAATGGGTAATCTAACAATAAATCTTTCAGTGGCATCGCGCTTGTGAGTAGCCATAAAATGTTGGCTCACAATATTCTCTTTCAGATATTTGAGAATCGTCATTTGTATCATCTCCTGGAAAGGATTCAAGTTTAAAGAATTTTTTGATAGAATGTTCTAAAGAATTCTCTTCAGAAATACGAGTAAGACAAGTAAAATTGTACGAAACAGTATTTTTTACAGTCTCCGTGACCAAATACCCAAATACACTGTTCTGAAACATTAAATTATTGTCGTGTGATTTGAATTTTTCGGGCTTGAGAAATTCAAAAAATACCTCACAACCTATAAGTAATTTGATTTTACTTGGAATGTAAAATGTAGGGTCAGCTAATTTTAATTCGCGAGGTATACAAATACTAGAAATGTCGATTTTCTTCACAGGTGTTAATTCTGTGGTTTTATGTAGCACAAGAAATGATAATGTTTTTGAAAAGTTATCTTCATCATTAGAAATTTTTGCTATTACTTTATTTTTAATAAAATATTCTCCTCGGTTAATTCCTGAAATACAGGAATGAAAATTTTCTTTAATCCCAAATTCTGAGCCGCTTCTTGTAAGCATATAGAAACAGAATTTCCGCTATCTAAAATTGCTTTTACTTTTATTTTTTCGCCAAATGATTTCTCAATAAATAACATCGTAGTGCATAAAAGGCTGCTTGACATCCGTGATTAACGAGGTACCTGTAACATTTTTATTTTGATTGATTGGCGACACCATATGTGATGAGTCATCATTATGAGCAGGAACTATCTTCGAGTTATTTATAGCGTTAGAAAACGGAATGTTTCCACAACCTTGATTTCAAGAGAATTCAATGAATTGAGGTACTTTTATTAATTATAGAGGAGAATATTTATGAAGGAGTGAATGGTGATTAGATTTTTTACAAACAATACAAACTCTCTTAGACGTACAATCATAAACAGAATGGCGCTTACTTAAACAATTATTACAGAGTTTATTAGTTTTAATCAAATTATCAGGTTCAATGTTCCGTCTTACCTTCTTCGGAAACATGCAAGAACCTGACTAGGAACAGAGAGCTTACTAAAGCTATGTTCAATAATTGTGGGAAGTAGACAGGATACACAAGAAGAGTATACAAAACCCTTTATTTTTCTCTATTTACAATAACTTCCGTACTTCGGAATACACAGACCCACTACTCGTGGTCTAAACGTAAGAATATAAAAATAAAACTAAACTCTAATTTAACTTTAAAATAATAAACGTGGAAGATTGGCCTTATATTAACAGGAAGCCGTATGTAGTACAGAGAACTGTGAACACTACAATACGTTTAAAAATTATCAAGAGGATTAAAACTCTGGCCTGGAAGGCAACCAGCAACTGAGAGTAAAACTTCTAAGGTAAGCGGCCTGCTTCGACTAAAACTGCTTCCTCTCTCTCGCTTGGCAAAAAGCCACAACTTAAATACTTGGCGTTCGCCAGACAAACTTTGCATAAATACATTAACGCTTATAATTCTGGCCGGAAGTAGAAAATAAAAAGTGATAGTAAAGATTTAAAATAAAATAAACGTTAGTAAAACTTAAGATCCTTACAAAATCTAATCTGTCTATTAATTTCATTTCTTTAAATTTATCACAGTGATATAATTGATGATTAGTTTGGGTTTTACAAGCTACACATATTTTAAACGAACCATTAGAATTGACGATAAAGGTTTTCGACCGTTCGCAAATGTGCTTAGACGGAGTGTTGGTGCTAACACTACTTAGAACTTGACACCTTCTTTCTAAAAATTGTAAAAAGTTATCAAAATCTGGAACTTCATTGTCCTTTAAGGTGAATTCAAACTGTTTTGTTGTTTCTCTGTCTATTTTTTCGAGAACAACATTTAATAACAAGGCATTAGAAAATTTGTCTCTTTCGAAATTTAAAATTTTCAGCTATCTAAGATTTTTATTTATATTATCTAGCAAGCTTCGAAGTTCTTCGGTTGACTCATGTTTGATTGCTTGAAGATTGAGAATGTTTTTAATGTGACAGAAAACAATAATTCTTTTGTTTTCATACCTTTGCTTTAAAGCCTTGAATAAGGAATTGTAACTATCATCTGCAGTTTCCATAATTTTTGCATCTCCTTTTAGTGACCCACGTAGATTATGAAGCTTTTCGTTTTCAGAAAGCTCTGAATTTTCGTCAATTAGACTAACAAACTGACTTTTAAACAAGTTCCACTCCTCAAATTTTCCAGTGAAAATAGGAAGAGGGATTTTTGGAAGTTTTATTGACATTAGCTTCAACTGATCGTTATTGCTCGAATTCAAATAAGTAGAACTGTCAGTGTTTTGATTTAGATAAGCAGAATTATTTTCACTAATTTTACGCTTATTAATCAAAGTTTTTAGACTTACCTCTGAATTTTGCAAGTCTTCATCTATCTGCGACAGCGTTTTTTCAATTTCTTCAAAATCTTTTTCGCTGACGATTTTGTAATATTCTTCCTTTAGAACATCGAATTTTTCTTGAAGTTTCGAAATCACATCCAACTGAGCTTGTAACTCGGAGAAAATTTTATTATCCTCACATATAACCTTCTTTAACTGTCCTTTTATATTCCCACGTTTGCGATTCAGCATTGTAATGGCTGATTCAGTCGCCATCGTTCTTACGATTTGAACTGTTTAACTTAATGCACTGTAAGACCTCCGGGTCGCTAGGACCAAATGTTACGGAGGTTTGATTATGAAATAGTGGACTGTAGTTTAAAATTAGAATTTATTATCAATGCACAGTTTGCATTGGACAAAAGTTTTACACTCAGCTAGTTGCTGGAGCTCGAGCAGATACAGAGATGTTATTGATACATACACCCCGCTAGAGGGCGCACCTAGTTATTAGAGTTGGCGCTACGATATACATTACGTATATTGCATATGTATATATCCATTACGATATACATATTTACGATCTCAGAAACAGAATGACCTACACAGATGTGGTCTACCAGGCGACTGTCATGTAAACGTTCTCGGAATTCTCTAAGACTACTTGTGGTATCAACTTATGAGACTAATAGAATACTAATAATACTAATAGAATACAAATTGCAATGTGTATCTAATACACAAGATAGAAAAGTCGCATGTAAATTCAACGAAACATATAATTCAACGGACATGTAAATACAACGAAACCAGGACACAAATAAATATCCTACAGATACAAACTCCTAATATTAACAAGTGAATTAAAGAATGCAGATGCATGAAAAAAGCCTTGCTGTGCTGATGCTAGAAAGTCCTTTTATCCTAACGTAAAGAACAAAATAAAAAAATGCAAATTATTTTCGAGAATGAAAAGAGTTCCGACATGCTAAAAAATAATCGCTAAAACGCATGCGCATTTTAAACTGAAGTTTCACTTCTGGCATTTTATGTCCTTAATTTACTGCCACTCAAGCCTAAATGATTGGCCTCTTCCATGACTAATAAATAAAAAGAACTTTTGAGTGACATATGACCTAGAGACTAGTGGGAGTGGAATACATCGGCCGCAATAACTTTGCGGGGAGGCTGAATCACTGTAATTATTGCGGCGCGCGACCGTAAAAAATGGGCTGCTCTTTTTTACGAGCTTGGTTCGATGGCAAAGGATAGTATATTTCTAAGAGACAGCAATATCCGAATTTTAACTTGAAGCGCATCAGGATTTAAAGGCTAGGAGGCTTGTAGCAAAACCAGGGCCAGATTAAGTCTTACAGAGGACATAAGCATTTAAAGGATTATGGCACTCCTACATATTGTTACTTTTTTTCTCTGACACCAGTTGTTACGTTATTTTTTGCCTTCACTTTCGTACGAGGTTCGTGTGGATTTGGAATAAATAAGGCCGACAGCACTTAATGGAGTATCGAGACTCACTTTATTTACCAATATTAATCAGGACAGCTCCAAAACACTTTTTACAGTCGTCGAAGATCTACTATAAACACGCTGGAACAATCAGCGACACAGCCTTCACACTATCAACTCGATCGTCTCCGCACGGCCTAACTAGATGAGACACACTATCTCGCTAGACGAGGCACAATACACTGACTGCGAATTAGTAGGATTTCTATAGCTTTCGGCTTGTGTTCGAGTACATTCTGGGCTAAACCGGTAAGAATTCGTTCCAGAAGGTTCTTCATCTGCCTATGGCATATCGCCAATTTTGTTGCCAAATGTCGCCAAACGGCCAAATTATCGCCAAATGTGGCCTCCCTTTGCCATTTAATGGCAACCTTAAACCTGCTTTGCGGAGAAGCTATCTCACCGCGCCTGTACATTTCGTAACACTGCCCCCTGCCAAGGACTGCACGTTCCGTGCAGTACAACCCTTGGTCAGAAGCCAAATTCGATACACAAAACATAATAAAAAAAACAAATAACATAGCTAAAAAAACAAATATTTACACTATGTACAAGTTATATACACAAATTAAACACATAACAATTTTAAATTATTCAAGTTCTGAATGAATTTCAGTCTTAGTCTTTTCACTAAGTTATACCCGGGTCAAATACTTTTCCACTGCAGTTTTCAGACACATTTCTGTTTTCCATATCACAGTCTTAAGATTCAGTCCTTTCAGAATTTCCATCCACAGGAAAATCTGAAACAGTTTGTTCACTACTCTGAAGTTTGTTCGCATCACGTGTACAGTTCACCGCGATACTTTTAGCAGATGGTACATGCTTATTTTCCTTCGTTTCCTGGGAACCAGCTCCAAATTCTGCATCAGAGTCATGAACGGAACCCAATTCTTCACAAACACAAGTATCCAGGTTTAGAATCAAGTCTGTGTCTGCACAATCTGCACTGTCAGACACATACATAGTTTGCGAAATGAGTGAATTTTCTCGCAATACTGGAACACTCTGCGTAAGTTGTACATCAGCTTCTTCCATCTCAGCATCAGATGAACTCTCAGATGTTTCAATACTTGCTAACTGCGACTTTGTAATTTCACTATCAGTTTTGAGGAACTTAACAGTCGCATTTTCACTTTCTTCCGCTTCAGGCACTTGAGAATCAAAAACTTCTTTCCCGTCTTTTATTTCTTCATGTTTTCGTTCTTTTCCTTTAGCCCTCAGGGGCTCACTTTTGTGAGCACGGGTGTGGCAATCCCGTGGTACCCTAGCCCTTCAGGGGATCATCTTCTTGGTGAGACGGGTGTCACGATCCTGGAGCCACAGTGATCTATCCTCTTTTCCGTCTCCTCTCCTCTTGGCTGGAAATTTTTCCCTTCCCTTCTCCCTTGTGGTTTCTCTCTACGGAGTTTGGGGCTCGTCAGGAGAGACTGGAACAGACCTTGTCTCTAGTTCTCGAGTGCCGAGAAAACTGCCCACGTGTTTGCCGTGCGTGGAGACCCGTGTCGCTGGAAAGGAGGGTCCTGGCAGTTGAGGGGCGAGGTACTGTCCCCAACACACTACTTTGGCCTCTGCTTCAGCTAAACGGGAGGCACCTTAGTCGTCCTCACGGGTGTCAATCGGCTGGTCACTAGTCCTTGTGTCAGTGGCTTGGGGTCAAGCTCTCGGGAGTACCTGCTTTCGGGAAAGCCGACTGTGGGGCTTCAGTTTGCGTATAGGTCCGGCTAACCCTAACACAAACTGTGTTCTCTTGTTGGGCTCCGTTGTGGGCGGGGCCGTCAGACCCGAATTTTTTCTCTTTCAATTATGGCTTCTCTTTTTATTCTAAAAAAACCTGACTCAAAAGACACCAACCAAGATATTGAAATTGTTGACAAATCAATTAACAAGAAGATCCGTACCGATGAAAATGACAAAGATACTGAAATTATTGACAAATCCAGTACGAAGAAGATCCGAACCGATGCAAATGCCAAAGAATCTACTGATTGTCCGCTCTTACTTGTTTTCTCTAGTCCTTCTGGTGAACTGAAAAAGATGTCTCCTTTTCTCGTAAACAAATATATACATTCATGTATAGATGAGCCAAGGAACATAAAGCGTCTCCGATCAGGAGAACTGCTTATTGATACCATATCGGCCACCCAGTCTGCTTCTCTTTCCCGACAAACCAAATTTGGAGAAATATCGATAACTGTGTCAGCGCACAAAACACTTAATTCTTGTAGAGGTATGATCTCGGAGATCGACCTTCTGTGTATCTCAGAAGAAGAGTTTGTCTCCGAGTTAGCTGACCAAAATGTCTGTGATGCTAGGCGGATCAAGATGCGAAACACGTGATCCTGACCTTCAACATGCCTGATCTGCCTAAGAATATTAAGGCCGGATATCTAAATCTTCCTGTAAGACCTTATATTCCTAACCCTATGCGATGTTTCCAGTGCCAGCGTTTCGGCCATTCTAAGATGACTTGTAGTGGCAGCCTCACATGCGCCCGATGCTCATAGATTGGCCACGATTCTGAAAATTGTACCGCTGCGCCTTTGTGTATAAATTGCAAGGGTCAGCACCCAGCATTTTCACGCCTGTGTCCAAAATGGAAATCCGAAAAAGAAGTGCAGACTGCGAAAGTTACCAGGAACATCTCGTATGCTGAAGCCAGAAAACTAGTTCAAAGCACACAGCTCCAATCAAACAAATCATATACCAGTGCAGTTAAAACAACACGTACCATTGCACCCAAACTTTGATCAATAAGGTACGCAGACTGTCCACCAAATAAAACCAACCGACTACATCCACCAAGAAAAAGGAACATGCAGACTCATTTAATACACACACACACAAAAAAAATCCAAAAAAAAAAAAGGAAAAAGAAACAGTCATTCAAAGTAAACCTAAAACTGAAAGTCACAAAATAATTAATAAAATAGAAGTCCTAGCAATAGCTCTCTTGACGATATGATTTCTGAATCTGCGGATTCAGATAGTATGGAAGTAGAAGAGGGTTTAGAAGTTCCCAAGGCATCTACTTCCACGAAAAACAAAAGAAGCAGACACAGAAAGAACAAAACCATAAATCATAATGGCCACCCTCGTCTCATGGAACTGTCGCGGTTTCCACCGAAGTTTGCTTGACATCAAATCTATAATAAATGCGTATCATCCTGTGTGATTAGCAATACAGGAAACAAATCTGAAACCAGAACAACTTGCAAAACTTCGGAGGTTTTCTTTCGTCAGGAAGGATAAGCTTGCAGGTGAGCGTGCCAGTGGAGGTGTAGGTCTCCTCACCTCACTGGACTATCCCTCAAGTTCCTTTCCTTTGACGACATTTCTCCAAGTTGTCGCTGTACAAGTAAATTTTCATGTTGTAGTTTCAGTCGTTTCTATTTATTTACCTCCTAATGAGCACATTGATCAGCAAGATTTAAATGGTCTTTTAGAGCAGCTACCCGAGCCTTTCATCACAATAGGAGATTTTAACGGCTATAGTCCGCTCTGGGGTAGTAAAGGTACAAATTGCCGAGGAAGACAAATTGAGCAGATGAGCGAAGATCATAGCCTTTGTCTCCTGAATAATGGGCAGGATACTTACTTCCATGAGCCTTCAAGGACATTCCACGCTCTCGACCTTGCCATCTGTTCACCATCTCTGTTGCCATTTTGCACTTTTAGTGTGGGAAATGATCTTTACAACAACGATCACTATCGCATTTTTATATCTCTTGCACGAAGAGGAGCAAACC